AGGCTGCAGTGGCCGGGAGCAGCCACTGCACTCCAGTCTGGGCGACAGAGTGAGACTCCAACTCAAAAACAAAACAAAACAAAACAGAAAGGATGTCGGTGTAAAGCTGGAGGGTTCCAGGTAAGTCTGGAGTTTAATTACTAGAAAAGGATCAACATTAGTTCCTTAGTGTTGACAAACATATAGCATTGCTGTCCATCTCCATGACCCATACCAGGTGCATCTGTCTAACTACTATGCAAAACATCAGTGCCATGGGCCTCCTTCCAACTGTGGTCCTGCCTCTCCTCCCTGCAAAAAGGCAGTCGAGGGCCAGGGTCGCCTGCTCCCAGCCTACAGGATGTACATTCCTCCTTCCAAGGGCAGGACTCTCCTGGAAGGCCCGAGCCCTGTGCCTGCTTCTTCAGAGCAAAACTCCTTCCTGCAGCCAATGGCCAGAGGGCCTGGGAAGACCAGGAACTAGGACACAAATAGCCCCAGCCGGGCATCGAGTTCCCTGTTCCTGCTTATTCTCTGGCCTCCCAGATCCTGGCCCCTGCCCACCTATCTCGGGACACCTATGTGCGCCCTCCTCAGGTCTCTCATCTGTCTGTCCACGTGTCTAAGGCTATGATGTGCCGATCACCTACCGTGTGCCAGGCACAGCACTGTGTCCCAAATACAGCATCGCATTTGATTCTCCCAACTCTAAGGATGAGAACTGATGATATCACCATCCTCAGTGAAGAATCTGAGGTCTAGGAAGTTTGAATAACTTGCCCAAGGTCACCTGCAAGCCAGAGCTGATACACGAATCCATGGTCCATCTTAACCAATCCAAGGAGTCACGCAGTGCAAACTAACCACACAGGCTTGGAAATCAACAACCCTACATTCAAGTCTGGCTCTGCCACTTAACAACTGTGCAAGTCCAAGCCACTGTCCTCACTTCTCAGAACCTCGGTTTCTATAAAATGAAGCTATAATCAGACCTGGCTAACTTGGTAGAAGCCGCACAGACAGTGCTTGACCGAGGTTAATAAAAGTGAGTTTGTAGTTGTTCATGTTACTGAGCCCCATCCTGGGATAGCTGCCCACCCCTCCAGGCCCTGCCCTGTGCAGTTCACCCTGGCAGGACTCACAGACACAAGGGGCCAGCCAGAGGCTCCCTGCTACCCCCAGCGACCCACCTGAATCCCCTGTCGTCGACATAGCAGTGCGCCGCGGAGACCAGCCAGGTGGGGGAGATCAGTGAGGCTCCGCAGACATGGCCCTGGCCCTGCACATGCAGGCTCACCTGCCAGGGCCACTCGCCCTCCTCTGCATCCGTGCCCCCAACAACACGGGCCTGTCTGGTGAACGGCCGCAGCCCACAGTCTGCAGAAGGGCCAGACAACAGCATGTCAAGGTGGGGACACCCAACCCCAGGGGGCCTGCACCAGGTGCGGCAAGACGCCGTGGGGGAAGCCACCTCTTGGCGTGCACAGCACTGCTGGAGCAGATGCAGTGTGAAGGACCTCTCGGAACTCCTTCAAGCTTCCCTGACCTTCTGACTTCCACCTGGGGCCTCCCTTTCCCCACTCCTGAATCCAAACGCTCACATGCCCATCTATCCCACCCTACACAAATGCAGCGGGGAGCCTCCAGGGCCTGCTGGTCAGCTTAGATTTGATTTGGGTGTCATTTGCCTAGATTTCCTCACTGAATGCTGAAAGGCACAGCTCTCAGAGGGACAAGTGAATGGCTGACACGAAGTCATAGAATCGCTGCAACTGTGCTCAATGTATCTCATAGCCAGCTCTGAAACCCACAGAAGCTGCAAATTAAAGTAGAGGGTATGTGAGGGTAAGCCCTGTCTAGTGCTCAGGTAAGCAGGGCCTGCTCTTCTCCAGGCCTCCTCCCCTTGGTGGGTCTACAGGCAGGGGAGGCCAGCCCAGCACCACAGCCAGGATCCCCACCATGCCTCAGAGACACTGATGTCCTGGCTGCCCTGGGCCTTTCTCCATGACCAGAGTGAGCCCATGGGGCGGTGCCTTCACGCCAACTGGCAAAGCCATCCTTTCCTCCAGGAGATGCACCCTCATCTCCGGGCACAGAGCTGGGTGAGTGGGGTGCTGGCAGGATTGTCAACTCTGGGTATACCCTTTGGTGGGTACCTTGCACAAGGAACAACCATAGGCGGGGCCCTGCTCACCGCAGTTTTTCTCATCCGAGCCATCACTACAGTCCTTCTTCCCATCACACTCAGGGTTGCCCTTGCTCAAGCAGAGCCCATTGTGGCAGCGATAGGTGTGTTTGGTGCAAGTGACGGTGCTCACTGTTCAAGGAGGATATGGGTGGGAAGGGAATCAATTCCTCGGCAGCACCCACGTAGGAGCCAGGGTCGGCACCAGAAACCCCTGATGGTGTCTCATGATGCACGAGCCTTGGACCCCTCACCCAAACCCACCCCTCCACCCACCTACTGTCCTTCCAGCCTTGCTACAGGTTCTCTGCCTTCTGGAAGACTCTATCCGGCTGGCACCCTTTCCCTGCACACAACACACAGGTGGTTGTGCTTATTCAACTTCACACATGTGGCATGTGAGTGTGCTCATGGCTGCCCTGGGGGCTGCTCCACTAGGGGACTAGCTCCCCACTGGCTGCAGAAAGGCAGGCAGGACTGGGCCTCACCACTGTTGCAGGAAGCCTCATCGGACCCATCCCCACAGTTGTCCTTTCCGTCACACTGCTGGCTCTTCGGGAGGCACTTCCCATTGGAACACTTGAAGGTCTGGGCCGGACAACCTGGGGAAGTACAAGGACTTCACAACCCGTCCTGCCTGCCCGGCCAAGCCACGGCTGCAGGGGAGCCCAGGAGTGCCCTCCCACCCCAGCACTCACTGCACCCCAGCTCGTCGCTGTTGTCTCCGCAGTCGTTCACGCTGTCGCACACCCAGAAGAGAGGTTTGCAGAACTTATTCTTGCATGTGAACTGATGGGAGGCATTGCATCCTGGACCAGGGGACAGCGGGATCAGCTGAGCCTCAGTTGCCTCCCCAGGGAAGCCTGGGCCCTCAGGGGGCTGCCTGGGGATGACTTTCCCATCTGGAGAGTGGCCCAGAGCGGCCCTGCCCCACTAGTTGTGGAAGCTACCCTCAACCCTTCCGGACACTCCACTGTCTGCCCTGACAGAAGCCAAGATTTCCAGAGGGTAGAGGGAGGGGAGAGGGCCAGATATCTCTACACAGGGGTATGGGAACAATCTCCTAGCCCCCTCAGGCCTTCCTGCCCCATGGGCAAGCCAGCTAGAGCCTTAGGACCAAGCCAGGGAAGGCAGGATGGGGCCTGGGGCTTCCAGCCCTACTCACTGCAGTTGAGCTCATCACTGTAGTCGGTGCAGTCAGCCCAGCCATCACAACGCAGCTCATGCCGGATACATCGCCCAGTTTTGCATGTGAACTTCCCAGGACATGCTGCAGGGCACAGGCAGGCCTGAGGTCCATGGGGCCCATCCACCTCCCGCAGTTGACTCCCCCAGACCCAGTCACAGAGAGAAGCAGAGCAGACACTTGAGTCCAGGACAGGTGTCACCCAGGCCCACTGAGCTCTGGCAATGGGTTTCCTACACCAGTAGCCAATGTGGAGGAGGGCGGGCCAAACGACTAACCCGGGCAGGCCAGATCCCTCCCCACCACTGGTGACCAAAGCCCAAGAAGCTCCAGGCACATTAGAGAGAGGTTGGCTTGATTTGCAGGCCCTTCTACTGCCCTGTGTCCTGAGCCATCAGGTGTCTTTGAGGGACAGGCCCTACCTGTAACACAGGGCGGGCAACAGCAGCTCAACAAGTCAATGATGCATGTGTCTTATCCAAATGCAAAAAGGGGTCACACGTGATGGCTCACATCTGTAATTCTAGCACTTTGGAAGGCTGAAGCAGGAGGACTGCTTGAGCCCAGAAGTTCAAGACCAACCTGGGCAACATAGCAAGACCTCATCTCTACAAAAAAAAAAATGTTTTAATTTGCTTGGGGTGGTGGCGTGTGCTATCAGTCCCAGCTACTCAGGAGGCTCAGGTGGAAGGATTACCTGAGCCCAGAAGGTCAAGGCTGCGGTGAGCTGTGATTGTGCCACTGCACTCCAGCCTAGGTGACAGAGTAAAATCCCAACTCAAAAAAACAAAAATGTAAAATGGCAACGTGCATCTCCTTTACTCTAAGATATTTTCCACATTTCAGTGTTTCTGAAATCAGCAGGCATGTGACAACTGCTGTCATCAAGCAGATGACAAAGTTGTAAGGAGGCCATTGTCACTGCCTCTGAAGAGGTGTTAGATCAAACGTATTCAGTCATCCTCTTATATTTTTGGTGGCAAGCCACCCAGCTGAATTTTTGTTTATTTATTGTAAAAATAGAGACAAGGTCTCACTTTGTTGCCCAGGCTGGTCCCCAACTCCTGGTCTCAAGTGATCCTCTCACCTCAGCCTCCCAAAGCACTCAGATTACATGTGTGAGCCACCACACTCAGGCTTACTTTTAACTTAAATGTGAATTCCTGAACATAGTTAAAAATATCTTCCCAAAAGTTATTCTATGACGCAGGATTGAAATAAAAATCACTGTGTATGTGAACAAATTGCCGTTGCTGAAACACAGTCAACAACAGCATTTTCTAATACATCTCAAAATTATGCTACAAATCCTAAAGGTGCTAATAGGCCACGAAGACAAGCACAGATGATCAAAGTCATGATAATTCTGAACCCGAGGGACAGATGGCCCAGAGGAGCTCAGTAAAGGAGAGTCCTTGGGCTGCAGGTGCCTCCTGCTGGGACTGCAACCCTGAAGGGCATGGTGTACACCACCGTTTGCCGCTGGCTTGTTTTAATAAATTCACTAAAGGTAGCGTGTTTTCATCAAGAAGCTAGGAGGGTGATAATGCATCCCATATTCCCACTACCTCAGAATCAGAAAAGCACAATGCTAAGATAAAGAGTAGTCAAGGGCATCCCGGGCAGTCCCCTAGGCAGGCCCAATCTCCTAGCGACATTACTCACGGTCGCTGGAATCATAGGAGAGATATTCAGCTAGGAAGCCCGTGTCAGTGTAGGACTGATCCGAATGGAAACGAACTGTGATCCTGTTGTTGTTGCTGCTAACGACAAACTGGGACCTCTCTCCACAGTACCTGGAAGAGGCGCAAGGTGAGGGCCAGCTCGGGGGATCCCTCCCCACCCTCCCCCAGCACTCCTCCACTCCCTTGGGCTCACCGCTCCCCGTTGACCTCCACGTAGTCCTTGGGGCAGCTGCCCAGGGGCACGTTGGGCTCCAGCAGGTAGAAGAGTTTGAAGAGCACCTTCACATTCTGATTGTTGGGCACCTGGAAAGAGAGAGATAATGCTGGGACCCTGCAACTTCTTTCCCTTTTTCTTGAACCCCAGGGTGTCACATGGGAGCAGCACGGAGCAGAGAGACACCATTCCATTACGAAGGAAGGTGGAAAGCTCTCTGTTTTTGAAGAAAAAAAAGAGACCGCTCTCTGACAGGGATGGTGAGGGCACCTGTGGGCACGACTGTATTGTTCTGCCATCATTAACGACTGTCTTCTTGAGTTTCACATACGCTCTCTGATTCCATCCTGAAAGCACCTCTAAGACCCAGGCACTATCGCCCTCACTTGACCTGGGAGCAGACTGAGGCACAGACAGGCTCAGTGATTGCCAAGGTCCCTCAGCCACTGGTCAAGGAGCTGGCATCTGAGTGTGGGTCTGTGTGACCCTGCAACGGGAGAGCTTACCCGCTCCAGGGCTCCAGACACAAAGCCAATCTGGGGTGGCTAAGGGAGCACATCTTCCCTTTCTTCTGACCTTCCTCATTTGACATCCTAGAGTATGGCCTCCCTTCTCCCTCTCTCTCCCTCCCTCCTTTCCTCTCTCCCTCTCCTTCCCTCTTCCTCTCCTTTTCCCTCTCCCTCTCTCTCCCTTCCTCTCTCTCTCACTCCTTCTTTCTTCCCCTCCCCCTCTCCCTACCTCTCTCTCTCGCCCCCTCCTCTTTCTCCCCACCATGCACACACACCTCACAGCTCCTACCTGGATGTGCCACATGCAGTCAATGTTGGGTGGGTAGTGGCCCGGGTAGTAGGGACTGCTAAATGTCCCCTGGGCTCCCTGTAAGTTGCCTCCACAGCCTGAGAGAAAAAGGCGAGAGAAAGAGTATGAGAACTGAGCACCTGCTGGCCAGGCAGGCAGGCAGGTGAAGGCCCCTCGAACTGAGGTCTCGAGCTGCCTTCTGAGTCCCTGGACACTGTGCAGAAGGTGTTGAGAAGCTTTAAGGGTGGCTCCTGACCTAGTGCTCAAAATGCCCTTTGGTTCAAGCTCCATCCTTCTGTTGCTGACTTGGGTCAGTCTACCAGCCACAGTGTCTAACCTGTGGCCTCCCAAGCTCAGGTCATCCTCTAAGGCCTGTCCCCTTCCCTGTGGCCTGCAGACAGCACCATCCTGCCCTGCCCTGCCTTACTGCTCATCTTAGGCAGCTGGAAGAAGGTGGCCTCAAAGCCGGGATGTCGCCGCTCAGTGTTGGTTATCAGCGTGATGAGGAAGACGTTCTGGGAGGAGAGGAAGGTCAGGTTGTAGGAGGGAGGGTAAGTGCCACACAGCCTGTGGGGGCAGAGGGCGGGGTGTTAGAGAGAACACAGAACCAAGCTTCTCACACACCTGGCCAGGGTGCCTAGCAGAGCCCCTAGGACCTCATTCCTAACCCTGGTCCAGTCCACAAAAGGCCCAGGGTGGAATCAAAGACACTCAGGCAAGTCCCTCCCACACAATCACTAATATGAGCAAGGATTTATTGACAAGACTGTTCATCTTTGTTTAAACCAGCAAAGTCCTAGAAACAATGAATGCCTACTGACAGAGGATGTATAAAATAGACTATTGGCTTAATAATAACAGTAGTAGTATCGATAACATTTAATAACATTAAAAAGAGGCCTGGCACAGTTCTCAGTGCTCTTATTTCTATGAATCCTAAAGTTCATAACAACTCTAGGAAGTAGAAATTATTATCCCTACCTTACAGATAAGGAAACTGAGGCACAGAGAGGTTCAGTAACTTGCCCAAGATCCCACAGTTAATAAATGTCAGGGCTGGCATTTACACTCAGGCATTCAGGCTCCAGAGTCTACACTGCTAACAACAGTGTCATCATGTATCACCTGCTTCTAAACAATGCGATGTTATGCAGTCATTAAAAACCATGCTCAGCGCCTTGGGTGGCTGAGGTGAGTGGATTGCCTGAGCCCGTGGGTTCAAGACCCGCCTGGGCAACTTGGCAAGACCTTATCTCTACAATAAATCAAAAAATTAGCCAGGCATGGTAGCGCGTGCCTATACTTCCAGCTACTTGTAAGGCTGAGGCAGAAGGATCGCTGGAGCCCAGCAGGTGGAGGCTGTGGTGGCTGGGAGCGTGCCACTGTACTCCAGTCTGGGCGACAGAGTGAGACTCCAACTCAAAAAAAAGAAAAGAAAAGAAAACCATGCTCAGAGACAGGGTGACTGATTTGGAAAGATTATCATAATATTCTGAAAGATCATCAGAATATAAAATTTTATCATAATGAAATTCTTTTCATTTTCAAAAAGCATCCCTGGTAGCCTAGCAGTTAGAATAAAAAGAAAATTAAAAAAACAAAGGCAGGTAACAAAACTGAATGTACCAGTACAACCAATTCCTAAACACGCACACAGTAAAAACGTCTGGGAGAATTTACATCACTAAGTTAACAGTTTTAGGTTGGGTGTGGTAGCATGCCTGGCCCAGCTACTTGGAAGACTGAGGCAGAAGAATCGCGTAAGCACAGCAGGTCAAGGCTGCGGTGGCCATGAACATGCCACTGCACTCCAGCATGGGCAACAGAGTGAGACTCTGATTCAAAAAAAAAAAATTAACAGTGTTTATGTCTACACAGTAAGATAATGAGTGACTCTTGTCCCTCTTTTGCTTGCTGACTTCCACTTTTTCCTCTTGGGACCATGTATTTCTTTGTTGTACGATTAATAAATTAGAGAGATGAAAAATAAGTCCTGGCTGCTAAGCTGTAGCAGCAGATGGCTCTAGCTTGTTTGGGAGCTGAATTTTAGCCCATTATTAATCACAAAATGTCTGCCCTCCGATTTGCACAGACAGTAACAGGAGGCTCTAACCCACTGAGGCTGGGAGAGGTAGTCAACCCCCAGCGACAGCACTCTGGGCGGTGTGCTTCCTCCTGATTTGGTGCATTCAGCCGGTGTTTTTAGTCATGACTTTTCATTTACTGTATTTTGACATCTGGGGCCTGGCTGACCCTGGAGGGATGCCCCTCCCAGGGCTAGCCAAGGCTTAGAGATAGCAAAGGACTCACTTGCAAGTGAACCTTTCACATATAAACCAACCACCCAGCCCCACTCCCCAAATCAAGATCTCACACTCAGGGGCACTATTGCTTGCCTGAATCACCCAAGGGTCAGGTACCAGACAACCAGGGACAGATGCCCCTACACTCCAGAGCCCAATTATTCACGTGAGCCAGTCCTGTTCACCTGCCTTGTCTTGACTTCCCTGTGTAAACCACAAAAGACTCCTGCCCATATGTCCCCACCCTTGCTGCCTCTGGACAAATCCTGGTGCTTCCCTGGCTGGCCCTACACACTTTGCCATGCCATGCTCCTCCTCTCAGGATCTGTGACAAACTCTCTTTTCAATGGCAGTCATCTCCTGACCTGTTGGCCTTACTATACCTGAATTAGAAAACCTACAGTTTATGATTGTGGGCTGCACCTTCCATCTGGTAATGTAGGGAAGCACACCTGCTCAGGCTGGATGTGGCATCTAGGGACCAGTGGGCCTTTGTCTCCCTTGCCAAAACTGGGAAAATCAACCCAGACACTCTGCTAGAGCTCATGCTGAAGGTCACTCCACACCTGTCCTCCACTGCCAGGAAGTTTAGCAGTAGCCTGTGGTCATGAGTCATAAACTGTCCCAAACCTCCACTGCAATTTGTTCAGGAGACCAGCCCCTACAGGAACAGCCACCAAGTTCCCACAGCCCCACCCCATTCTCCAGGATACTTACTGCACTAGGGCATGGGGCTCCATGGGGCTCAAGGTATCATACACCGTCACCAGGTCACTGCCACGTTCATCACAGGATGCAACGTCAAAGCTGCGGAAGGTGAGGCTCAGCACTGAGTCTGCATCCCCCCGCAGAGCCCACTGGCAGCGAGCGCGAGCTGGGTAGGGGCTGTCAGGGAAGCCAGGTGTAGTGAAGCGAGTCAGCTCCCTACCACGGGCATGCAGTGCAAAGCTGCAGCTGTCTGTGCAGGAGACAAGAAGGAGGGCGCTGGGGTGAGAACAAGACAGAACTGAAGGGGCAGCCAACAGACAAAAAGGAGGGCATGGGGGTGAGAACAGGACAGAACTGCAGGGGCAGCCAAGAGACCCAGTAGGGGCACACCCTAGACATGTCCACTCCAAGATGTCCCAGGCTACCCTGAATCTGAGGACACCATGAAGGGTGCCTCTCAGAAGGGCCTGGAAGAGCCAGAGGGATGTACTGGCCATTGGCATGGTCTGACTTCTGGGGACCCCCGGGCTCAGTGGTATCTGGCTATACTCCCCTTCTTTTCCACCCAGAGGAAGGGGGCATGATACTTACTGTCCTGAGTCCTCTGTACCGTTCTGGGGTCAGTGGCTGAAGACCAAGAGGAAGAACAAGGTAGTTACCGAGTCTGTCTACTTCCTTAATCCTGCTTTCTTATTATGGTAAGGGAGGGGCCAGCCGGCAAGCTATCTTCTCTAGGGGTACTGGGCTCAGGAATGTTGGTTCCCCGCAATAGTCCAGAGCCCAGCCATGCTTCCCTGAAGTCACATGCCCACCCCGGGCCCACCCAGGACTCACGGAAGGCCACCACCGAGGTCAGCACGAAGGAGTGCAGGGCCCGCGCACGTGGTGGCAGCGTGACCACGCGTTCCTCTGCCATGGCACGTTCAGCCTCCTCCACCAGGTGCTGCGGGAGGCTGAACTCTGACCAATAGTAGGCAATGACGCTGCCCTCGCTGTGGAGAGAGCAGTGAGCCTGAGACGTGGGGCTCCGGTGACCGCTTTCCCCACACTCTCTCAGGCTGACCTGAGCAGGTGGGCAGCCAGGCTGGCCCTTGGGGGCTCCGCAGGGACTCCTGTCCACAGAGGCCCCACCACAGACTCTCTGTTGTGAGCACCCACCTTCCCACTCCCAGAGCCAGAGATCGTGCCCATCTGCTCTTAGCCTCATCCCCGACCTGAGGCATCTTGGGGCCAGTTCAGGTTTAGGGGTGAATGAGGAAATAAATGTGATTGGCATTTGACCACTAACTTGGGCACAGCAAGTATCACCTTCCTGAGTCTGGGTTCTGATCTGGGAGAGGGGACGGAAATGACACGTGCCACAGCACCACAAGGATTCAACTGAACAAGCACACTAAAAAGTACTTTGTGAATAAAGTCTTTTGAAAAAGTGTTTGAAAAAACTGCCCAAGCACAGAAAACGTTTCCTGAGCACCCTGAAACCCAAACTTGGAAAAGTAAAAAATATCACAGCCACTACTGGCACTGTGCCAAGCTCTCCATAGGCCTGTGTTCACTTCGTCCTAGCAACACAGCGATGGTCACCCCAGCCTCAGGGACAGAAGAGTCAAGCCGTTGAGTGACTTGTAGACAGGACAGAAAAAGGACCCGCCTTGGTTTTCCAAGCCTGGAGCTCCAGCCTCATCCCCCACACAGCACACCCCGATCCCACTCCCAGACAGGCTGCAGACCAGCCCACCAAGCCGTCTCCCTCACCCACCTGAAGGCAGTCACAGCAGACTCCTTGTGGTAGGGACCCAGGGTGGGGACCCCGCTGTACAGCAGCTTCAGCTGAGGAAGGAGACAAGGCTCACATCAGGTCAAAGAGTGGCTATGACTCCTGCCCTAAGCCCAGGCCACTCCCTTCCTTCCTTGGTCTGGGGCCTCTTCCCAAGCCAGCCCCCGTCCCAGGGCCTGGGAGCGAAGGGGATGTGTGCCCTTTCTGCTCAGTGGGCTAGGGTTGCCAGAATAGACGGCAGGGCAGGGCTCCCACCCAGGGCAGGACTTACCGCTTCCTTCACCTTGTTGGCCAGGCTTATAAACTCAGTGGAGTTGGAATCCTCATAGGCATCCAGAAAGTTCTCATTTGTGATCCTCAGGTAGCCATTGAAGATCTTTTGGACCCGCATGTTCTGGTCTGTGTGGGACCAGGAGGAGTGCGGTCAGAAGAGGTAGCCCCAGCCCCACCTGTCCCCCACCATCCACAGCTACACCCAGCTTCCTGGGGAAGTAAAGGCAGGGAGGGGCCAGCAGGCAGCCCTGACCACTCCCCATCAGGATTCAAAAGAAGCCATGAGACACTCCTGTTCACAGTTGGTGGCCCCTGGGTCTGTCCGCTGAGGGAAAAGGGACAACCACCCCACATCGCCCTCCCTGGAGCCAGTCCCAGTTTCACTCACACTGGAAGTGCCACACTAGGAAGCCGACCGCGAGTGACACCAATAGGATACCGGTCAGCACAGCCACCAGCACCACCCAGCGCTTCGGGCCACGCTTCTCCACCTTCTTGGTATTATTGACTGGCAAGAACTCCACACCTTCCTCGAAGCCATTCATGCCCTGCACAGAGAAAGGCATCGTGACTCAGATATGCTCACCTCATGCCTCCCAACCCTGCTCAGGGAAGGACGTCTACACTTTGCAAGGTCTAGCTTGAAGAGAGGAGCAAGGGCGGAATGAGGACAGGGCTTCTTGCACAGGCAGGTCCCATTGGGCCAGGTCACACAACCTGCACTCTGCACTCTGACCCCATGGAGACGATGAGCCTTCTGGACATGCAGCCTGATGTCTGCACAGGTGACAACTGCTTAGGACTGTTAGTTTAAGTGAAATGAAGGGTCATCCAAACGCAGTCTTTAAGGTCTCCCCTCAGGGGAACCATATTTAACACAGATACATGCCCAGGAGCAGGGAGAGTGACCCCAGCACAGAACATGGCACTCGTGGTGCCCCGTGTAGATTTCCAGGGGCAGCTTCCTCCTCCAGCACCACAGCCTCGGCCAGATGCAGTCCCCACCATCACCTGGGCCAGGAGTACATGGCCAGAGTGTCAACTGCACATCCAGCCCAGAGATCCCACCCTGCCAATGTTTAACCAGCATAAGGGCAGTAAACTGAGGCAGCTCTGAAGTTCCGTCGTGGAACAAACTGCTCTGGGTTTGATCTTAGATGTCTCCATCTCAGGACCTCCAGACGTGGTGAGAGGACCAGGTCTCTGCGAGAATCCTCACCCATGCTTGAGACCCAAGACAGTGAGAGGCAAACAAACAGAACTTCTGACAAACAGGAGGGTATCTTCCCTGGGATCTTCCCTGCTGTCTCTTTTCAGGATGAGGGGACCTGAATACAGAGGGGGCAGACAGGGTGTCGGCTGGCCCAATGACAGATAGGCGAACGTTTCTGCCCACAGCACACTCCATCTGCTCACCCTGAAACCTGAAGAGGTATTGTGACCTTGTGCAGTAGCGCTGGAGGATTAACTACCTCAAACCCATTCCACAGGGCTTACCATGAAAGCAACAGCCACCACCCAGACCCACCAGGGTTGCCACTTTTAACAGTTTCCTGGTGTAGTTCTTCCGGTGGCTACCTCATAGCTCTAGAGTATGTTCTTGAGCTGACAGTTCTTGACATGTCACATTTACACATTAGCTATTAACTGACTGCTATGAAACATTCTCCCTACTGCAGCCACACTGAGATACTTGTGTCTCCAATTTTAGTTCTTTAATGGACTACATCTGTGACTATCTAATATCACACACAGCAACACACCCTAGAGACAACCACTTAAAATGCTTTCCAGTTGCTTGTTCTGAACTGTGCCTCCATATTACTAAATAATATGCCAATAACACTAACTCTTGATTCAGCTACTGAAAATATCAATTGACTTCCTGTTATGATCATGTGAATGTTAATCTCCTTCCTTCCCATTCTCCCAATAGTTATAAGATTAAAGTTTTAATTATTTTAAAATTTTTTTTGAATTAGGGTATCACTCTGTCACCCAAGCAGCAGTCCAGTGGCACGTTCATAGCTCATTGCTGCCTCAACCTCCTAAGTTCAGGTGAGTCTTCTGCCTCCAAATAGCTAGGACTACAGGCATGCACTACCACACCTGGCTAATTTTTTTGATTTTTTTTTGTGAAGACAAGGTCTTGCTATGTTGCCTAGGCTGGTCTTGAACTCCTGGGCTCAAGCAATCTTGCCTTGGCTGGGATTACAGGTATGAGCCACTATAAGACTAAGGATCCAGCTATAAGACTAAGGTTTTTATTTTTATTTTTTTGATTTGGAGTCTCACTTTGTCGCCCAGACTGGAGTGCAGTGGCTGCTCCCGGCCACTGCAGCCTCGACCCACTGGGCGCTGGCGATCCTTCCGCCCCAGCCTTCCAAGTAGCTGGAATTACAGGCACACGTTACCATGCCTGGCTGATTTTTTGATTTATTGTAGAGATGAGGTCTCGCCAAGTTGCCCAGGCGGGTCTCGAACCCGCGGGCTCAGGCAATCCACTTACCTCAGCCTCTCAAAGCGTGGGATTACAGGCTGAACCACCGAGCCCCGCTAAGACTAAGGTTTTTAAAAGTATATTCTACTCTATGGTTTCATTATCTTTATTATCAGACTGTGAAAATAATGTTCACTATTATGTTTCCTTTCCTGTACAATTTATTTGTTTTTCCTGCTGCAAATTTTCACTTACTTGGGTTTTTTTTTTAAACATACACCCAAATCTTTACATACAATCTAAGAGCACTGTAGCACTGTTCTCAATCTTCTACATATAAAATAATTTATTTCATGTTCTTCCTGGGGGACTCCCTCCCAGAGCCCTTTGTCCTTTCTCAGAGCAGTTGTCAGGAACCTCCTTCATCATTGCCCTGGGGATATTCTTTTTTTTTTTTTTGAGTTGGAGTCTCACTCTGTCACCCAGATTGGAGTGCAGTGGCCGCTCCCGGCCACCGCAGCCTCGACCTGCTGGGCTGTGGCGATCCTTCCGCCTCAGCCTTCCAAGTAGCTGGAACTACAGGCGTGTGCTACCATGCCCAGCTCATTTTTGATTTATTGTAGAGATGAGGTCTTGCCTAGTTGCCCAGACGGATCTTGAACCCCCGGGCTCAGGCAATCCACTCACCTTGGCCTCCCAAAGTGCTGGGATTACAGGCTGAGCCACCCAGCCCGGCCCCTGGGGATTTTCTTAATCTCCTTCTGTGTTAAAACTCCTATTTCTTAGATTCCATGTCTTTATCTCTCTTGATTTACTTCATTTTGGTGGAACACATAATTTTTTTTTCTGATTAAAAAGACTGTGAAAAATTGGATATGTATATTATTAGTAAGTTCCCGAGAAAGACTTTTTTTGATACTTCGCACATTTCTGAAAATACCTTAATTTTACACTCATTCATAGATAGTTTGGTTGGGTATAGAACTACAGGTGTAAAATAATTTTTACTTAGAATTTTGAGGGTTCCATTGTTTTTTAACTTTTTTTTTCGCTTTCTGAAAGTCTTGAGGATGTGTTTAAACCAAGTCTTTTTTTTTTTTTTTAGTGACAAGGTCTCACTCTGTTGCCCAGGTTAGAGTGCAGTAGTGTGGTCATAGCTCATTATCACCTCAAAATCTGGGATCAAGCAATCCTCCCACTCCAGCCTCCTGAGTAGTTGGACTACAGGCACGTACCACCATGCCTGGATTATTTTATTTTATTTTTTGTAGAGAACAGGGTCTCACTATGTTGCCCAAGGCTGGTCTTGAACTCCTGACTTCAAGGTATCTTCCCACCTCAGCCTTTCAAGGTGCTGGATTTTCAGATGTGAGCCACCATTCATGGCTTGAATTGGGTCTTTAAATTTCATTATGCTGAGCTTTCCACATGCTCTCTGAACTTGGAAATGTAAATCTTTCAGCCTGGTAGCTTTCTTGTCTTATTTTTTAGATTATGACCACCCTACCTTTCTTCAATCCCTAGTATATTTATCCTTCATTTCCCTTTTCTCTGTGTTATCCATCTCATTATTTTTAAATTTCCTATTGAGTTTTTCAATTTTGCTATCAAGTTTTTTTTGTTTTTTTTTTGAGTTGGAATCTCACTCTGTCGCCCAGACTGGAGTGCAGTGGCATGCTCCTGGCCACCTCAGCCTCGACCTGCTGGGCTCTGGCGATCCTTCTGCCTCAGCCTTCCAAGTAGCTGGAACTATAGGCACGTGCTACCACACCCGGTTAATTTTTTTTGATTTATTGTAGAGATGAGGTCTTACCAAGTTGCCCAGGCAGATCTCGAACCCACGAGCTCAGGCAATTCATTCACCTCGGCCTCCCAAGGCACGGGATTACAGGCTGAGCCACTGAGCCCGGCCTGCTATCAAGTTTTTAATTCCTTTTTTTTTTTTTTTGAGTCAGAGTCTAACTTTGCCCCAGGCAGGAGGTCTAGAGTGGAGTGGCACACTCATGGCCACCACAGCCTCTACCTGCTGGGTTCAGGAGATCCTTCTGCTTCAGCCTTCCAAGTAGCTGGAACTACAGACATGCACCACCACACCCAGCTAATTTTATGATTTATTGTAGAGATGAGGTTTTGCCTTGTTGCTCAGGCTGGTCTCGAACCCCTGAGCTCAGGCAATCCTCTTGCCTCCACCTCCCAAAGTACTGGGATTACAGGCGTGAGTTACTGAGTCTGGTTAGAATTTTAATTTCGAAGAGTTTTCTTGTTTTCTGAATTTTCCTCTTTTATGGGATCTTGTGTTTGTCATTCTTATATTTCTTATATTTGAGGGCCTTTTCTCTGCTTTTGACTTTCTCTTCCATGTTGAAGGTTCCCCTCAAAAGCCCAGGTGTCCTTGGGGGGTTGTTTGTATTTAGGAATAAACCCCTAAAGGCTGTTGGGAAGCTCTATGTGCATGGCTTGCCACAAGTGGCTTCCCTGTAGGGCACAAGTAAATGGGTAACCAGATTATTTATCTGAGCATTTCCAACTGTTAGGCTTTGTAGATCTTTCTGTGGAAGGTTTCGTTGCTCCAGAGAATAACTTTCTAATCTGGCTAAAGTGATTTAAACCCAGCCACTAGCATTCAGGAATATTTGGGAAAACAGACTAATTTTCCTTGTTTTTACCCCTCAGTACAGCCTTCCTCTATCCTGATGACCTCAAGATCACATATTTTCTGATTCAATATCTCCAGATTATTCTTCCCATCCCCTATGGATGTCTGGAGGTTGAACTGTCCTTTTGATTGGGGAAGAGGTAGAGATTTGAGGATTTTTAACAATACCCTTTCTTGTCTCACCTGTTTTCCATAATACTTGAGCTTAATTCCTGAGCCTGGCAGAGAAAAGGACATTACCAAAGAAATACCAAAAGGATGTTTCCAAAACTGAAGGGAAGCATAAATCTTCAAACTCAAAATACTCACTGAATGGTGAGAAAGATAAATGAAAAAGTATGCTTAACTAGTTAGACTGTATCATGACAAAATTTCAGAACATCAGACCAGGTATAGTGGCTCACACCTGTAATCCCAGCTCTCTGGGAGACTGAGGTGGGAAGATTGGTTGA